GGGAGAGCTCATATAAGCATCAAGCTCAGCACTCGACCCCTCATTGGCCGAAATGTATGTAACTTCCGTTACAGGCCGCCGCGCGAGCAGCGCAGGGAGACAACGTATATGACGAGCACGAGGGCTATGGCAATCCCAAGGGGAGGGGGTATCTGGGCGGTTTGGGGCAGGTTGTCTGATACCAGGTACTCGACACAGCTTGCACCACGAGCACGCAATTAACAAAGATAACTACAGTGCCAATGATGTATGCAGCTACAGTGACCTGGACAGAGGGAGCCGAAGGGAGGAAACAATTGGAGATGTTTTGAGTGTGCCGAGAAGGGGGGTGGGGGAAGCATGGACATGGATGCGATGGGAAAGGGAATGAGGGGAGCATGCATATGGATGTGATCAAATACCCAACACATGGCACACAGAGTTTGTACTTCGTGAAATTTACAATGATCACAGGCAGTGGTGGTATGCTCACTGTGTCACGCCTCTGCTCTCTGTGCCATGCTCTCCTCTATGTATCACGCCTCTGCTCTCTGTGCCATGCTCTGCTCTCTGTGCCATGCTCTGTTCTCTGTGCCATGCTCTGCTCACTGTGCCGTGCTCTGCTCACCGTGGGGTGGTTGGTGAAGGGACCCATCTTGACAGGGCTGCTTGTGAACTTGAGCAGAGGATGAGCGCATACGGCAGGCCGAATGACAGGATGATCTGTGGGCGTGCACGGTGGGGAGAAAGAGGCAGATGGGAGTCAAGCACAGCAGATGGGGAGGTAGGCAGAAGAGGAGGAGGGGCAAGCAGTGGACTCAGTAGAAAACGCGGACAACGTCAGGGAGCAGCAAACATGACACAATCCACACAACATATGCCCACTGCCACTCTCCCTCGTGCCCTCTTTCCCTCTCCCCAACCCACCGAGGATGCAATGACGAGGTTGCCGGCACCCTCGGCCCCAACCACAGTTTTTGAAAAGTCTCGGACCTCCCCTTTCCCCCTCTCTCTCCCGCTCTTCCCCTCTGTCCCTCTCTATCCCTCCCCTCCCCTCCAACCCACCGAGGATGCAATGATGAGGTTGCCGGCGCCCGTAGCGCCAGCCACAATGGCAACAGCGAGCGACGGCACGATGGCAACGAGGCGTGTGAGCAGGTTGCGCAGCCACGACGCGAGGTGCAGCTCCAGAAACCCCGACATCACATACTGCCCCGCGTACGTCCCCGTGATCGTGGAACTCTGCCCTGAGGCTAACAGAGCAATGCCAAAGAGCGTGGACGCCCACGCGCCCAGCACGTCGCGCAGCAGGAAGTAGGCGTTGCTCAGGCTGATGTCGCTGCAGCTCGCCTGCACGTCCGGGAGAGGTCCGGCGCGGAGCAGACTGCCCCGCCCACACAGATGACTGCCACGTTGATGGCGAAACTGATGATGAGCGCCGCTGCCACTTCCAATAATGAGTAGAGACACCCGTCCTGGCAGTGGCGGAGAGGTGAACGGGGGAAGAGAGTGGGGGAGGGGTGAGGAGGGAGCACACGGCGCCGCCCACGCAGATGACTGCCACGCTGATGGCGAAGCTGATTATGAGCGCCGCTGCCACTTCTAGTAACGAGTACAGGCACCCGTCCTGATGGGCATGAGAGGGGGAAGAGGGGAGAGGGGATCAGAGGGGAGGTGGAGGGGGGAAGGGGGACAGTGTGGGGTTAGACAGCTGAGTCGACTCATGGCTAGTAAGAAGGGAAGGGCGGGCAGTGGAACCGGAACTGTGGAAGGAGGCTGCAATTACATGGGAGCGGCACAGCCTACTCATCATTCTCCTTTCCTCGGCACTTGCCACCTTTCCATCCATCACCACCACACAGACCCAGCACCCACCGTAATCCCAGCACTCACCACAACCTGGAGTCATCACAACCAGCAACCACCACAATAAGCACCTCGATGCCTTGGCGCCAGCATCAGAAGCAGCAGCAAGTGCAGCGCACCTTGATGCCTTGACTGGTGCGCTGGGGCTTGCGGCTGAGCACCAGTGCGGAGTGCAGAAAGAGGTTGTGCCTGGCAGGGACAGGCGAGAGGTTGGGAGAAGTTGGAGGAAGAGGAATGGGGGGAATGGGCGGGGAATGGGGCGGAGAGATGCGTGGTTGGGAAACGAGACAAATCAAGAAGCAACACACCACATGAGTGCATGCATCCCATGCCATCACACCACATGAGTGCATGCATCCCATGTCATCACACCATCTCACACCATCACTCCGTCTCCCTCCACCAACTTACGGCATGACCAGAGCACCAATGAGCGAGATGGCGATGGCGAGCGCACCCAGATCCTGTGTGCGAGGGACGAGCATGCCCTCTAGCACCGCCATGCCATCCATTCACCCCCTCCCCCCCCCCCCCCCCCCTCCCCCCATTCATTCCTTCTTACGGCATGACCAGAGCGCCGATGAGCGAGATGGCGATGGCGAGTGCACCCAGGTCTTGTATGCGCGGGACAAACATGCCCTCTAACACAGCCATGCCATCCACTGGTGCATGCCCCATCTCAATGAAGAAGCAGCACGCTATCACCATCACCAGCAGCGCTATGAACACCTCCAGATTGCGCACCTGCATGGAGAGGAAAAGAGGGGGGGTGAGGTGAGGTGTGGAGAAGAAAGAAGGCACTGAGTCACTTCAAGAAGCAGCACGCTATCACCAGCACCAGCAGCGCTATGAACACCTCTGGATTGAGCACCTGAAGGACAGGGGGAGGGGAGGTGGAAGGGAAAAAGTGGAACTGAGTCACTTCAAAAGGCCGCACGATCATGAGAACCAGCAGCGCTACGAACACCTCTTGATTGCAAGAGCACAGAACACGAGACAGGCACATGCATAGAAACGGTTCTGGGCAGGCAGTATAAGGTTTGTGAAGGAGAGGCGCGGGTGCGGGGAAAAAGAGGAGGTTCACCCCGAATCGCTGGAGGCCGAGGAAGAGGAGCGTGCTGAAGCCCATGAACACACACACATGCACACATGCACACATGCACACATGCACACATGCACACACACATGCACGCATGCACGCATGCACACATGCACACACACATGCACACATGCACACATGCACACACGAACTCACCCCGAATCGCTGGAGGCCGAGGAAGAGGAGCGTGCTGAAGCCGGTTATAATGACCCCCGCCCACAGACGAATGCCAAACAACATGTTGAGTGCAAAGGCCATTCCTATCACTGCCATGCATGCAGATGTGCACACATGCACGCATGCACACACGCACACACACATGCACATGCACGCACACATGCGCACGCACGCACACACGCGCGCGCGCACACACACACACACACACACACACACACACAAACACACACGCACGCACACAAGGATTGCAAAGGGAAATTGAGTGCAAAGGCATGTGCAAGCCATACAGAAGCAAGCGCTCGGAAAGGAGAGGGAATGAGACCGGGAGAGGAGGAGAGATGAGGGAGAGGAGGAGAGATGAGGGAGAGGGGGGGAGATGATTGAGAGAAGGAAATACCTTCTGGGATGTCACTGGCGATGATCTCTATCTCTGCAATCACCCAGAGCGCAAGGTTGACACCTCGGGGGTACTCCGCCCTGCAATGCTGCGCCAGATGCTTGCCTGCCATCATGCATTGCCGCACAGCACCGCACCACACCACACCACAGCATGACACAGCACAGTGCAGCACAGCACGGCATGGCACAGCACAGAAAGAAGAGCCATGTACACATGGGGTGAGGTTGTATCAAGCCATGGCATAGCAGGGCATGGCATAACATGGCATGGCATAGCATGGCATGGGCGTCTCATGGCATGGGATGACATAGCCAGGCATGGAATGGCATGCAGGGTTGAAGGGCGGCAGCATTGGAAGATGTGGAACCATGCTGTGGCTCCTTGTCTCTCCCCTACTGGTGGTTTGAGAACTAACCGGTGACTATTCCGAGGTTGGCGGACAGTGACTGTATAAGGAGGCCCGCTAGCGATGCCAGCAGAAGAACCCAAAGAAGCTGAAAACGGGAAGGAAAACACAGAAAGAGACAAATTTGCATGGGATGGATGAAGTGTGCGTGGAGCTGTGCAGCATAATGCAGACATTTTCACGCGAGAATAGAGTAACAAGCTGCTGATGGCTGGTAGAAAAAAGAGCGGAGATAGAGGTGTAACCTGTAACCTACCGAGTATTGGTATGCTGCTCCTGCCTTGAGGTCACTTTCAACTGCACGAGAGAAGAATACGAGACGAGCGAAAGGGGACGGGTAGAGAGAGGGGCTCAACGCATGGAGTGAGTGTGTGTGATTGTGATGGGAAGCGGAGGAAGAGACGGTGAGAGCGACGGCGCCTGTACCGTCCCAGTTCACCAAGACTGTGGGCGCACGACGGGCAGGTGGTGTGTTCCTATCCGCATGGAAGTTCAGTGCATGCAAAAACCACGGTGTAAGCGATACTGTGAGTGAGCAATTGGCACGACCAGCAGTTCAAGCGACTCACAATTGGCCGGGTCGATGTAGGCTATGGCGACGAGGAATCCAGGGCCGACGTACGCCCAGAATTTACTCCATCCTCGCTCCTGCGATCACTCACGCATGGACACGCAGGGGTAAGCTGAATGTCAGCCACACAATAACTGCTGCAACCGACCTCATTTACCTAGTATACGATCGTTGATTTTCAACGCTCGACACCTAACTCAGAGATTTCTGATTCCGCGTTCCGATTAGGAGCGGAAAGCTTAGATCCCTAAATGAACAGTGCGCAGCATTCTCCGGCCGAGTCTCGCGCCAGGGCGGAATTACCTCGGGAACGTGCACTTGACCCTCGTCTTGATCCTTGCGGTCTGCGCCCTCGGTCGCCATGCTGCTGATCAGGCCAATGTTCTCCGTCATAAGACCACCAGTACGCCAAAATCGATCAGCGTTCGTGCCTAGACCTTCCGACCGAATGTAGAATCGATCAATAAATAATCAGCAACCGTAGATTCATTTGGATAAGAATCCACTAGCGCGTGTTGTCGTAACCCGCCAACGTAAACGCCTCCTAAGATGGTTGGCCTATGTTATGGCTAGCTTGCATTGTTCCGGGGCTGGTGAATTGGGGCGAAGCGAAGAACAGTAGCCATCAATCAAAGAGATGGCTTGAAATGGAAGCTTGGTTGGTGCATTGCACGCTCCCCACTCCCCGCTGCATTCTTGTCCAGCATCACATCGCAACTCGAGGGGGTGGGTGGGTGGGTTCTCGACACGTCGATTTACCAGATAACGGTATGAAACTGTACATAATATTTCAAAGTAGGGATGAAATGCATGGAAGTGCGCATGTTTTGAGCAAGTACCGTAGTGGTGGTTATGCATTTATGCAACCTTATTACATATCCGCACACTGCATTACACATACTACACCAGCATCGAAGCAGGAAACAGCAGTGGTGTGTTTCGATCAACATTGAAGTTGAATGCTTATTGCGGCCAATGCAGGATGTATAAACGAGAAAACTAGTTAACTTCACGCACTTATAACGACTCTGTTGCACGCTGTATTGCACAACTCAACAGCCGCTGGAGTGGTCGCCTTCTTGCAGCACTGGCTACACTGCTGCTTGCTGTTGCTTGAAGTCTTGGGTGCACACACTGGAAAACAGAACCAGAGAGAGACACATCCGGATTGAATTGTGTGCGGAACAGCTTCTCATGCATGGGAATGTGGCAATCATGAATCCAGAATCGCATGGAATGACTTTGGCACTTACTGACGCATCCAGGCACAGGCTTGCAGTTGACAAACTTCCCATGGATGCAGGAGCAGCGCTGGCAGAGGTCGCCAGTCTTGGTCATGTCGTGAGCTCCGTTCTTCACAAAAATTGGACCCCATCCTGGTCCAGCACTTACGCACTCGTTTGGACCCTCTGAGGGAAATGGAGGGAAAAGCACATCGAAGTGGACAAGGGTGAGCCGGAAAAAAGACGGTCAATCAAGAAATCAACGATGCCATACACAATCCGTGTGAGGGACCAAATAGCTTATTAGCAAAGAATGCAGACGGAATGTAAGGGGAATGGAGCTCACGAGCACTGTTGATGCAGTTGCCAATGTATGTGTCGTTGACAAACCGTGATACTTCACACCTGGTGGTTGAAGGAGAAAAAGGAAGTCAAATAATGCACAGAGAATGAAGAAAAACGTCATTAGCAAGTAGCGCATTCAGGAGTTGCCTTGAAGCAAGTCAGATGATTCTCTCTGCTGGTTAATCTCACAGCCCACGCGACTCAACTGGTTCTGTCTGGTGTCCTTGCATCGCGTGCCGTCCTTCCATCGCCCCACCGCGTCCTGCTTGCACAGCTTTCCCAGCGGACACACGCAGGTGGGGCCGGACTTGAGCTTCTGGCACGTGCAGCGCGGACAGATGGTCGAAGCCGTGATGCCGCTGGTACCCGGTGCGAACATGACGGAGCGGAACATGCAGTACTTCTGATTTATCTGATCGACTGGTTAACAACGTCAGAAACAGAAAACGGAGAAATTATCAGAAGACGAAATACTCTGCGGTGTTTTCAAGCGTTTCTTGCGGTAGAGAGGGTCGCAAGAAAAACACATTGTTGGTAATCGATGGCTTACTAGGCACGTCGGAGGCGCATTTCCCCTTGAACAAGAAATGGGGTGAGTTTTTCACCACCTTGGTCACCAAACACCTGAAACGATCAATCAATTCAGCAAACAGGCCGCGATACAGGATATAAATTCGCTCTCGTCAACAACTATGCTCGTGATGTCATGACATTCTCACAGCGGGACCCGCGTACCCGAAGTCTCGCTTGCATAAGGGCTTCATGGGGTGTAGTTCTTGTCGTAGTAGCATGTGGATCCGTCAGGTAGGCCTGACCCAGCTCCAGTTGCACAGACAACCCATGGCCCTGCATGAAATACCAGGCATCAGGATCCATATTCAAATGTAAAATAGTATGTCGCGCAAGCGCAAGCACTTCAAAGAAAGTCCTCGCATCACCTGAAGTTGAAGCGAGGAGCAGCAGAAATGGAAGAGATGCGAGGATCTTCATTGCCGATGTCTGATCGCTTTCCGCTGCCTGCTATGATGGCCCGAGAAGCAACAGGAGGTCACTATTCCAGGTGATGTAAATTACTGTGACCGAAAGATTCAGGGCTATTGTATTTATAGCAGCATATGAAACCTTATCCAGGAGTCGCATCGGCCATGCTCATGGCAATGCCCCGCGGATAATGTCATGGAGAGGGGCGGTAGAGCAGAGGGAGTTCCGTTGGTTCAACAAATGTGCAAGGGATTCGCGAACGCGCCGCAACATCAGCATGTCAGTGCTGAAAATGTCCTCAGAAGATGTTACAAGTCCGTACCATTCATACACGCTTTTGTGCCTACTTACATTTACCGTAACCCAAACAGCTCACTGAGGTGGCACAGTAATGATGTGACCTACGGTATGTGGTGTATTTTCAGTCTGGTGGAAAAATAGGGGCTCTAAAACGCCTACGGTACCAGCAGATATGTGGAAACAGTAGAAACATGTATGATTTGTGGGGACGTGAAATCTTGGTTGAAGTGTTTGCCGCTGATGGCAATCATGACATTTGCCTTTACATCCCCTTCCATACTTATGTATCAACATCTCTGCAAGGATGGAAGCTCCATTCTTTTGTTAGAAAAATATCTTATAGCTCTTAGCTGGAGAGGATATGAGCTTACATTGTTGGTGTGCAAGAACTAAAGAAGGCTCAAGGGGAGCCAGTGATGGCATATTAAGGTCACTGTGCTGGCAAGGCAGGGCAAACTCGGTTCATCGTTCTGAAGGTTAAGCCATACTGCCTGAAGCCTGCCGATAAACCCTGTTACACGCTGTTTCACACATCTCAACACCCTCTGGTGTGGTGGCCTTCCTGCAGCACTGGCTGCATTGCTGTGCGACGTTGGTTGGGCTCTTTGGAACACACACTGCGAAAGAGCACCAATGGGGCAATACAAAGAGAAGGAATAAGAAACAAGGACTCGAGTATACTAACGAATGAGTGAATGCTACAACACATTTCCAGTCACTAACTACCCACAGACTGACATGCAACTTACTGGCACATCCGAGTACAGGCTTGCAGTTGACAAACTGTCCTTTCATGCAGGAACAGCGTTGGCATAGATCACCGGTCTTGGTAATGTTGTGAGCCCTATTCCTCACAAAAATGGGACCCCACCCTGGTCCTGCACTGATGCACTCGTTGGGGCCCTCTGACAGTGATGGAATATAAACATCCAAGGAGGGAATAAGGGGGTGGGAACGCGATGATAGAACGAAAATTTAAAAGGATGGGAGAGCACACACGTTGCAGAAACAATAAGTTGAGTAGGAGATGAACTAGACATGAACAATTGGATCTGTAAGCACGAAAGCGGTAAGGGAGAAGAACACAACGATGGAGGGGGAGGAACTGACGAGCAGGGTTGATGCAGTTGCCAACGTACGAGCCATTGACCACCCGTGATACTTCACACCTGGTGGTGCCATGACGACATGGGAGGGAGGCAAATACGTACAAGGTGTTAAAAAAATTACTCATTCCACAGCACAAAATTTATCTGTGTGCAGGAGAGTCAAGGGCATATCGTTTCCATACTCGTCCCTGGTCACACTCCCGCTTCCCCGTTTTCCCACTCCCATCCCCCACGCGACTCAACTGGTTCTGTCTGGAGTCTCGGCATCGCGTGCCGTCCTTCCATCGCCCCACCGCGTCCTGCTTGCACTGCTTGCCCAGCGGACACAAGCACGTGGGGCCGCCCTTGAGCTGCCGGCACGTGCAGTGCGGACACATGGATGTCGCCGTGATGCCGCTCGTCCCCGGCGCGAACATCACGGAGCGAAACATGCAGAACCGTTTGGTGATTTGGTCCACTGAAAGGGAGGTGGAGAGCGGCGGCGGGGAGGGGCAAAGGATTGTTGAGAAAACGTGACATTGCAATGATATTCGCAGTCAGTGCGGAGGCAGGTGGAAGAGAAAGAGTTTGGAAACTTACGAGGAACGTCAGAGGCGCATTCGCCCTTGAACTTGAAATGCGGTGAGTTGCGAACCACCTTGGTCACCACACACCTGAAAAAAAGGGGAAAGTCACGCACACGGAAGGCATGTAGCGAACGGATTTGAGCTGCGCTTGCATGGTGGTGAACCACTCCCTATATTAATCGCATCTTTCATGGCGGATCGCTAGAATAGGGTATTATAGGACTGCTGCCATTTCAGGTTTCAAGAAAGACGCGATTCTCAGCGTACCCGAATTCTCTCTTGCAGTAGGGCTTGATGGGGGTGTAGTTATTGTCGTAGTAGCATGTGGCTCCGTCAGGTAGGCCCGACTTTTTGTCACCGGCGACGGCTAACCACGGCCCTGAACGAACGATAGCGGAGCGAAAGAAGCTCGTGGGCAAGGCTGAATACAGAACGTATTCCGAGCGTCCGCGTGTTCATTACAACGAAAACGCGAACTGGAAAATGAATATTTATCATAGGTGAACAAATGACGAAGCTATGAGAGTAGCACCTGAATTCAACGAGAGCAGAAGCAGCAAGGTAAGCGATGCGCGGAGCTTCATTCCTGCGAGTATCGTTCGTTCCACGACGTCCTGTGCTCACTATGCTTCGTGAAACCCCTGCGATTGAGAATCTGACAGAGAATTTTGGAGTCTACGAATCTCAGTATAACTGAGCCAGAGCGAGAAATTCTTGCGTAATAAAGCTTTTATCCTTGTTAGTGTTAAGGTCGTGCAGTAGCAGCGCCTTTACACTCACTCCAGCTAACAGCGATTGCAACGAGGTGGATGCATCGCTGGCAAGGAAGGTGCAACGGAGCAACCTCAATAACCTTGAGGTAGTAACAGCTCGAAGAAAGCTTATGACGTTGGAGCTTCCTGCAACTAGTAGCTTATGAGGTGTTGCTTTCAGATTCTCAATCACGCCGATTCAGGCTTTCAAATTCACAAGAAATCTGCTCAAATTCAAATGCTTTCAACCTGAGCAAAATTTACTCTTAGAGAGCAGTCCAACTAGCCGAGCTGTGCGAAGCATCTCAAATTCGCCAACGAGCCGCAAGCACTGCAACTCCATGCAGAAAGTGTGCGTGACTCTGTGATGGCGACAGCATGTGCGACCTTGGGCATGCGGGAGGGAAAACCATGTGCGACATAGGATGGGCATGTGGATGGGAGGGAATTCCCGAAAACCAGAAATTTGATGCATCCTCTGCTTTCGCTGCAGGTCCTAGTCGTGTCGCAGCACGAGCCGCTTGGTGAAATGAAATCTCCTTTCACAATCGATTCCATCCCATAGCCTTCACCGTTGGATTCCGTTACTGCAAGGGATGTTTTTTCACGTACCCTTTAGACAGTGAAATCATATGTTCTTTTATGCGGGTCGTGATTCTTTGCTCACTACGAAGCAACACAGAATCCCATTGCAGTAATTCTTAGGGAGGGACTGAAGTCAGTTTGATGCAACTTTTGCCAGCACTGTTAATCAATAAAAGCATTGTAAAGCTACAAGAGATTCATTTAGCCTATACTATTGCCTCCACAGCTGCAGCCACATCCGCAATGCTCTTAAACTGGTGCCTTTCCTTGACGAGGTGCTTGCCGAAGTTGAGAGCCCTGCGCTCGCAAGCTGCCCTCACATCAGGGTCGGCAATGGACTCCAGATCCTCCACATGCGCGATGCCAACAATGCGCCTGCAAGAGTAGACACACCACGGACGGCACAACCCGCAAAGTCAGGACTTCCATTCCCTCGCAGATCTTGGTGGACGGCGAAACAGGACACCTGAAATCCTGGTAACATACGGCAAAGCACCCACTACCAGCTCCTGCGCTCATCCAATCGACCAGCTATCACCCGAACCTGCACCAGCTCACCCAAGCCTCTACCAGCTCCCACCCAACCCTGCAGCAGCGCTCACCTGATCATCTTGGCCCCGGCGAATCCCAGCGAGTCCAGGAAGACCTCGCGCAGGAAGGCGGTCTGGGCGGCGGAGAGCAGCGCAGCATTGTCGTGGTACAGTGCCTGCGGGTACGCGTCTCCCTTGGCCAGTGCCTTGTCGTTCCACAGCGCCAGGAACTTGGCCTCAAACTTCTGCCACGTCTCCGTGACGCACTGCAGGAGCCACTTCTTGGCCGCCTGGGCGAGGGATGGGGAGAGGGATGGGGGGAGGATGGTGAAGGATGGTGAAGGAGAGCGACTGATGGCAAGGTCGGTCCATTTAGCACACTCATACAAACAGGACAGTCCACAGAGAACACTCACAGCACGGGAGTCATCAGCGGTGGCGTGGCCGTCCTGACTGAAGTAGGCCAGCAGCAGGTTGCCCAGGAAGGCCCCGATGTCAAAGCCCATCGGACCGTAGAACGCAAATTCCGGGTCGATCACGACCGTTGATTCCTCCGTGACCATGACTGAGCCTGTGTGCAGATCCGCATGCAGCAGCGCCTGTGCGCGCTCACAGAACCTGCAAGAGGGAGGAGCGGGGAGGGGATGCACAAGAGCGCAGGCAAAGCAAGCGTGAAATAGGATGCATGAGGGTGGCCCACAATGACAAGTGGAGATAAAGGATGAACCTGAGCCGCCTGAGCCACTTGAGCCACCTGAGCCACCTGAGCCACCACTGAAAATTAACCACAAAATGGTTGGAATGCATGGTGGTGGATTGTGGAACACACCACAAGCACCAGGCGCATCAATACACCACTTGCCCTTGAGCTCCGAAATGGCGAGCTTGCGGGGCACGTCCTCACTCACTCAGCCGTGACAGGCGTGGTGGTGAAACACAGAGAGAGCAATGAGCAACCAGAGGGGGAGCAGAACACCAAGGAAGAAGGGCCGCACTCACTTGCTCTTGAGCTCGGTGATGGCGAGCTTCAGCGGCACATCCTCCCTCAACGCCGCTGCATCTGCGTCGAGCTGGGGGGTGGTCCAGCGGTTGTTGGTGGCGAGCACGTAGGGCTCAGTGAAGATCACCTGCTCCGTCAGCCGACACATCTCCACGTTGCCACAGAACTCCCGCACTGCGGGGCAACAGGGAGCGGAGGAATGGCACGGCAGAGCGTTGGGACGGCAAGGGCTGGGAACCTCGTTTCACTGTGCTGAGTTCAATGGCCCCGCATTTGAATATACTGAGCAAAAGCCATATCTCATTAACTGCCAGCAACCATTGAAAACGGCGCACCTTTGTCGCGGTAGACCTCGGTGTTGATGGCGATGAGTGACGACAGGAACAGCGTGCTGGCGAGGAACGACGACATGTGCTCCGCCAGCCGCGGGTACACGCGCCCCTGCACCAGCCCCTTCCGCAGCACAATCGCGGGCGGCGCCACATACCGCATCACCAGCAGCGCCATCGGGTGACTAAAGAAATACACCTCAGGCACCAGCTCAGGCACCCATGCAAACTGCTGCCGCAGCGCCAGCGCCTCGTAGTAAATCCTATCTAGAGTCATGGGCCAGGATTCCCCCACCACTCGCACGTACGGCAGCGCCTGCTTCACCACTAAGGCCCCTCCCGGCCCTTCGACAATATACACGAAGTTGATGTTCCCGTCCCCCACCTCCCGCACGGACCACTCCGCCGGGCCGCCGCCGAGCCTGGCGGCGAGGTCCGGGTGGTCCTGGAGGAAGGCAGGCACGGTGTGCTCGCTGACGGGCGTGAAGCGGGAGGCTTCCAGAGCGTCTTTGCGGATGCGGTCCTTGTGCGGGTCCGTGTGCGGGTGCGCATCGTCCTCCTTGGTGTGAGGGTTGTTGGCGGGCGGTGGGTACATGGGTGAGGAGGGCACGGGGGCGCCGAGGGAGTGGAGGAACCCGCGGATGTCAAAGACTGATGCGCCTTCTTTCTTCCAGATGACGCCCTGCAGGGATGATGGGGCAGAGGGGCGTGTGGGATGGGGGCATAGGATGAGAAGGCGCCGAGCTGTCAGAAGTAGACAGGTGGGCTGCAAAGGCCTTATTTCCATCAACTCTCGCTGATGTCAAAGACTGATGCGCCCTCCTTCCAGATGACGCCCTGCAGGGAGGGTAGGGTGTGTGGGAAGGTTGCCCAAGGACATATGCGAGGGAAAGGGGTGAGCAAGAAGTTAGGGATCATGCCTCGCATGCCTCACATGCCTCACATGCCTCACATGCCTCACACACACATGCCATAATAAAAACCTCCCACCCACCCTGTCAGTAATGAGGCCTGTGATGAACTGCGCTGGTGTGATGTCAAACGCCGGGTTCCACACATCGATGCCGTGAGGCGCCACCTGCCATGTGAGTCAACCAGGTACATGGAAACAGCAGTGCGTGGGTAGAGCAGCACATGGGTAGAGCAGCACATGGGCAGAGCAAAGACACAGCAACATTGAGTAGATCCAGGTAGAAAATGCCAAGAACCGCAATAGTAAAATGCACTGCACCCTCAGATGTGTTGGCGCACCTGCGGGCCGGCGCCTCCCAGCGAGTGCGTGAGCTCAGCAGAGTGCCGCTCCTCCACCACGATCTCCTCCCCCGTCTTGATCGCCGCATCGATGGACGTGAGTGGCGCCGCCACGAAGAAGGGCGTCTTGTGGTGGAAGGCCGATAGAGCCAGGGAGTACGTGCCGATCTTGTTTGCCGTGTCGCCTAGAGGTTGAGTGGAGAGGTGGGGGTTCGAGAGATGGGGGGTAGAGAGGGGGTCAGCGGCGCAGACACAAAGAAGGGCGTCTTGTGGTGCCTGCCAGGTGACAGAGGTGGAAAAATGAGACGGATGGAGCAACAGCAGGCAGAAGGCAGCAAACAACAGTGAACACACCGTTTGCAGCAATCCGATCGGCGCCCACAACAACAGCGTCGATGCGGCCAGCAGCCTTGAGCGAGGCGGCAGCAGAGTCAGCAATGAGCAGCCGCGGGATGCCGTCGTGAGTCAGCTCAAACGCCGTCAGCCTCGAGCCCTGTGTTGTAGGGACCGTATCTCTGTGCACACTGCTGTTTCCAGCAGACCCTGGGCGTGAAGGGAGCGGATGACGCCCAAGGCTGTGCCGTAGGCCGTACTGTTGCAAGGCTGTGAGAGGGAGGGAAACAGGGAGAAGACAGGGTAACGAATGTCATCCGTGCACAATGCCGTTTCCAGCAGGCCCTGCACGTGCAGCGGGCGGATCACTCCCAGGGCAGTGGCCGTAGGCTGCAGTGGCCAGGCTGTCGTGTGAGGGAACAGGAAACGGGGGCAAGGAAAAAAGCATGTGAGGCGCTAGCCCTGGTTGTAGGGACGCGTCTCCGTGCACACAGTTGTTTCCAGCGCATGTAGGGAACGATCCACTCCCAGTGCTGTGCCATAGGTAGGCTGCAGACTGCAGTGGCCAGGCTGCGAGAGTGGTAAGGGAAGGCGTGGGAGTGAGAGCGGGAAAATGCATGTGAGGTGAGAGCCCTGGGCGTGGAGGAAGCGAATGACGCCTAGAGCCGTGTCGTGGGCCGCTGTGTGCAAGGAAGTGAGGGGTGGAAGGAAGGAGATGTGAGGGGCGAGCCCTGGTTGTATGGGCGCGTCCACCATTGTTTCCAACTGGCCCTGCACGTGGGAGGGAGGTCATCACTCCAGCACTGTCCATAGCCAGCAGTGGCGTGGCTGTGCGGGGCAAGAATGGTGGTCGGGATGGGGATGGTTCAGGATGGGGATGGTTCAGGATGGGGATGGTTTCTGGATGGGGATGGTTCAGGATGGGGATGGGAACGGGAAGAGAATAAGCAAGCAGTGTACACACCACCACTAGGTATGGGGTGAGGGGTTCCGCATTGTATGCAATAACCCTCACCTGCCAGTGTTGCAGTGGGTGAGCACCCGTAGGTTCTTCCCCTCAACGCCCTTCTGCCTCAGCGCCTCCACCACGGCCTGAGCGCCAAACGCCCCGATGCGCTTGTTGCCCCGCCACGTCATCACTCAGCATCGCCTCCGCTGCCAGCACTGTTGCCTGAGAGGGGGGGGCGAGGGTGGTTAACAGATGGCAGTGATGGGGTGCGAAGACGTGAGAACAAAGAGAAGAGCCACGTCATCACTCAGCATCGCCTCCGCTGCCAGCACTGTTGCCTGTGGTGGGGGGTGGGTGGGCCCGGGGGGTTGGTTGGCCCAGAGGGGTGGTTGGCAGACCGGCAGGGAGATGAAGGGTGAGGTCAAAGCGGAGAGCCACGTCATCACTCAGCATCGCCTCCGCTGCCAGCGATCGCCTGGTGGGGAGGGGAGGAAAGGGGAGGCGCATGGGAGGAAGTCGAAGGAGGGGGGGAGAGTGAAAACAAAGCGGATAGCCACATCATCACTCAGCATCGCCTTTGCCACCCGCACCGTTACCATTACACCGTTACCATTACCACCACTGCACCGTTACCATTACCACCACACTACACCATTACCATTACCACCACACTACACCGTTACCATTACCACCACACTACACCGTTACCATTACCACCACACTACACCGTTACCATTACCACCACACTACACCGTTACCATTACCACCACACTACACCGTTACCATTACCACCACACTACACCGTTACCATTACCACCACTACACCGTTACCATTACCACCACACTACACCGTTACCATTACCACCACACTACACCGTTACCATTACCACCACACTACACCGTTACCATTAACACCACACTACACCGTTACCATTACCACCACACTACACCGTTACCATTACCACCACTACACCGTTACCATTACCACCACTACACCATTACCATTACCACCACACTACACCGTTACCATTACCACCACACTACACTGTTACCATTACCACCACACTACACCGTTACCATTACCACCACTGCACCGTTACCATTACCACCACACTACACCGTTACCATTACCACCACACTACACCGTTACCATTACCACCACACTACACCGTTACCATTACCACCACACTACACCGTTACCATTACCACCACACTACACTGTTACCATTACCACCACACTACACCGTTACCATTACCACCACACTACACCGTTACCATTACCACCACACTACACCGTTACCATTACCACCACACTACACCGTTACCATTACCACCAATGCACCGTTACCATTACCACCACTACCACCAGCACTACCTGAGCTCACCAGCACTACCTCGGCTCACCAGTACAACCGCCTCGGGCGTGGGTTCCTCCTTGGCTGCCTCCTCCGCCACCCTCTTGAGCTTCTCTGCCGCGTCTGATAGGTTCACTGCCGTGGGGCGACTGGGAGGGGACAAGGGGGGAGAGAGAAGAGTGTGTGAGAGAGAGACCAAGGGGAACACGTGAGCGCATATGGTCCTGTTTGATCTTCTCTGCCGCGTCTGATAGGTTCACTGCCGTGGGGCGGCTGGAATGGGGGGCGGAGGGAGGGAGAGGGGGAGTGAGGGGAGTGAGGGAAAGTTGTTGGAAGTGTGGGGGACGGGATTGCCCCCCACGCGAAAGACCTCCCTTGACTCGGACCAAGGGAGGGTTCGTTCTTGGAAGGTTGGGGTGACGGCGGATTGTCCGCGTCGCCACGCAACCGAACTTCCCCCGGTTGGGTCCGAATATTTGTGGGGGCGACACTTGGCAGCCCCACAAGCATGCACGAAAATAGCAAGAGCGCAAGCGAATGTTACGAACATTTCGCTACACTCGCTATTGTTCCTTGTAACACACGATTGTCGGCGTGAAAAAACGAACCCGGCAAAGTCCGAAATTGTGAACGCGGACGTCGCGGAAATTGGACGCGATCCTGAGTCCGAATTTCCGGCGAGTCGCGCGCGGTTCGATGTTACAATTGTGCTTGCATGTTTTAGCTATAAAACCAGAGAGCAAATTCCATAGAGTTAACTTCAACTCGTCACTTGTACCCATCCTTGCATTATAAGAAATATCTCTTTCAATTCTCAGGCGATTACAGAGATTCAAAGTGCCACTGATTCCTTGCTCCGAGCCTGTCGGAACGATCCTAGTCTTGGCTCCTAACTCGCCAAGTAGAATCTGTGGCGTCACTAGGAGTGAGACGGTTTCCTTCAAAAGTGAGGCGCTGCCAGGGCCTTTTCAGATGCCAATGGTCAAACACACAAGCGCACCTGGACACGAGGTAGTCAAGGCGGTTGGTGATGTGCTTCACGGCAGCATCCTGTGCCGGTGCACCTCCACTGCCAGCGCCAGCGCCAGCGCTCTGTGATCGACATACCTGGAATGGATATGCGCTGCGCACCTGGACACGAGGTAGTCAAGGCGGTCGGTGATGTGCTTCACAGCGGCATCCGCGGACTCGAACACGCTGTGCTGGTGCACCTCCACTGCCAGCGCCAGCGCTGCTGCGATGGCGATCGCCGGCGCTCCCCTCACCACCATGTCCTTGATGGCGTGCCTGAGGGTTGTGATGGGTGCGGTGCGGTGGAGTGCGGTGCAAGGCAATTCACAGGAGGAGGCATTAACTGGCATGTTCGTGGTCGCATTTCCGGCGTTTCGTGATGCATGGGGTTCCAAACACAGAGCATGATGAGATGACAATGAGAATCGCGAACCCACCAGGCAGCTTCGGTGGTTGGGATGTCGAGGTAGATAGACTCGTGAGGAAGCTTCCGCTGAAATGAAGGCAACACGCGCGGCGGGGCGTAAAATGGAAGGGGGAAAGAAGAAGCAGCGCCTCAGTCTGGTTAAACGCGCGCCTTCATAACATCGGAGCCGTAATGATTCTTATCCTTTACGTACGACGCACCCTTTACAAGAAGGGTGCGACAGTTTCGTGCGCAGAATTTTCACAATATCGCTATTTTTTATACCGAGAATTTAACTGAAAGCTCCGCTGAAACATTCTGAGGATTTATGAGAGCTGAAAACACAACTCGCCTGGTCCAGAAGCTCGAGCTTCCCTCGGGAATACCGAATGGCCTGAAGCACCTTCGACTCGCCCGACGCGCCCACATTCTCCGCCGTCACCGTCAGATCTGCAACCGCTGCCGCCATTGCTGCCGTCGGATTCGATAGTTTCCAACGACGAAATTCAAAGAACGGATTTGTCGAAACTACCGGCGAGGTGTGAAGGGATTGTCAGGTCTGCGAAGTACCGGGAGAGGCGCTAGATGCGGAGGCGGCGGCGAAGCTGGTCGGGGGTTGGATTGGAATACAAATGGATGGCCGAAGCTGAAGGAGAAATCCTTAGTGGCAGCTTTCTGACCTCCGAGCTGGTAACAATTGAAAATTGACGATTCGAAATAGTTCGCAACACCCAGGACATCCCGAGGCATAGCGACAGTCGCCATTGCCTAGGTTATGTTCGCTGAATGGTTTGCCATTGCCGTGGCCTGAATAACAAGCAGAGAATCGAGACACTGAAACCCCCGTTTTAGTCAGAACACAGCACAGCATACAGCACAGCACACAGCATACTGCACACAGCACAGCACACCACAATGCTTTACCTCGTTACTCCTCTTCACATCATCACCTCCCCATCATGTCGTTTCTCCGAATCGCGATAGTTCCTGGTCAAATTGTTACCACCATTATCCGCAGGCATCAGATATAAATCTTCACCACATGGTCGCTTTCCTTCGGGTTTTGGCCGTTCATTTTTTCCTCCCTGTAACTCTTTCTCACCGCCGTTTCTGCGTTACCTCCGCATCATCACCGCGATGTCGTTGGGTCAGCCGAAAGGAGCAATCGATGGACACATGAAGTCTTCGGATGATGAAATCTCTCTACTTTCGATCGCGATACGAGTCGCTATGGATCGTAGTTAGCCAGTAGCAACACTTCGCATTGCTTCAAATTCTCTGTCGCGATACGAGTCGCTATGGATGCGACGCGCATGCGCGCAGTGCGCCGCGCATGGCCGCATTAGAGAAGAGGATAAGGTAGCCATCTAATTGGTTCAGCATGCTGCTTCATCATGCTGTAGGTATGCTGATCATTGCAGTCAGCATGCTTCAATGTGCGACATCATGCTTCAATGTGCGACATCATGCTTCAATGTGCGACATCATGGTATGCTGACCGTTGCTGTCAGTCAGCATGTACGCACAAACTGCCATCATTCTTAGTGCACTCTCCTGTCGTTGCTCTGCGCGTTGCTTGCTGCCCTTTTGGGCCGTCCTGCGTTGCCCTTGCCTTGGCGAAGGATTCGCGCGCTGGCAAGGGGGAAGGGGATGGGGAATGGATTCGCGCGCTGGCAAGGGGGAAGGGGATGGGGAATGGATTCGCACGCTGGCAAGGGGGAAGGGGATGGGGAATGGATTCGCAGTGCTAAATGCTCTCTCCAGTATGCCCTCTCCTGCCGCTTGCGTCTTGCCCCATGCACAGCAGGGTCATCAGCACGCAAGCCTGCACAGTTGTTGTACCAGCGTCACTTGCTGCGCGACCAGTGCAATGCCAGTGCCCCTTAGTGCGCACTGCAGAGATTCACAATGCAAGGTAGCGTCACTTCACTCTAATTCACGGTCTTGCTCAAATTCACAGTCTTGCTCTCTTTGATCAACAGACTCCTGAAAAGCTAATGGTAGCGTCACGTGCTCGAATTCACGTTCTCGCTGATTATCAACTTCACGTTAATGGTTCCTTCACCATTTGTTGCCATGGGTTGTTACCCCCCCCCACCATCCATTACCTTTTGGTGTTAACCCCCCCCCATGTCACATAGGAATCGCCATCTTGTTATCTTGGCATCGGCATCACCATCCCATTCATTATCATGTGATGTTGCCTCTGTTTGGCAGTGGTGATGTTGCCTCTGCATGGCAAAGGTGGTGTAGCCTCTGCATGGCAAAGGTGGTGTAGCCTCTGCATGGCAAAGGTGGTATTATCACCACTGTACCTCCCAGCACACACACGTGTCAACACGTGCGCTCAGCATGTGGACAGGACATGGGCGGCATGTGGGCGGCATGTGGGCAGTGTGGGTGCTGGATAATCAATGGATGTACACAGCACAGCACAGCACAGCACCGCACAGCACAGCACAGCACAGCACAGCACAGCACACACCACAGCACAGCGCAGCACAGCACAGCACAGCACACAGCACAGCACAGCACAGCACAGCACAGCACAGCACAGCACAGCACAGCACAGCACAGCACAGCACAGCACAGCACAGCACAGCACAGCACAGCACAGCACAGCACAGCACAGCACAGCACAGCACAGCACACAGCACAGCACAGCACAGCACACAGCACAGCACAGCACAGCACAGCACACAGCACAGCACAGCACAGCACACCACAGCACAGCACAGCACAGCACAGCACAGCACAGCACAGCACAGCACAGCACAGCACAGCACAGCACAGCACAGCACAGCACAGCACAGCACAGCACAGCACAGCACAGCACACAGCACAGCACAGCACAGCACAGCACAGCACAGCACAGCACAGCACAGCACAGCACAGCACAGCACAGCACAGAACAGCACAGCACAGCACAGCACAGCACAGCACAGCACAGCACAGCACAGCACAGCACAGCACAGCACAGCACAGCACAGCACAGCACAGCACAGCACAGCACAGCACACAGCACAGCACAGCACAGCACAGCACAGCACAGCACAGCACAGCACAGCACAGCACAGCACAGCACAGCACAGCACCGCACCGCACAGCACAGCACAGCACAGCACAGCACAGCACAGCACAGCACAGCACAGCACACAGCACAGCACAGCACACAGCACAGCACAGCACACAGCACACAGCACACAGCACAGCACAGCACACAGCACAGTATGCAGAACAGGACAGCACAGCATATAGCACAATACGCGGAACAGCACACAGGCCGCACAGCACACAGCACAGCACAGCAACAAAACACTTCCTTCACAACTGAGCATGCTCTCGCACCTTGCTCCCATGAGCCTCTCCCTGTATGACTTTCCGTGAGTCGTTCTGTTGGTGATGCCTTTGCAGCAATAGCATCGCCAGAAGCTGGGTCATGTGCTTCTGCTCGCCCAGCAAGTCTGAAGGCGGGATCAATCTTGGTAGCGTCAGCGCAGCAGCATCAGAGAGGCCACAGTTTATGTGCTCCTCTGATCTACTGCACAAGGACCTCGGTGCATGTTAATCTACATCAAGTTCTCTGTTGAATGGTAAACTAGATGAAGCTCTCTGTTGCATGTTACACCTCTGTTGCATGTTAAGCATCTGCTGCATTGCATGTTAGCCCTCTGATACAGGTTAGCCTCTGTCAAGTGCATTGTTGCACGTTAAACAGTGATCTGGTGCATGGCACCGGTACCTGTATCAATTCACTGTTATGCTAGCATCTGAATCCTATGTCAAGTGCATTGTCTGTGCTGGTTACCATATGTTATTTGTGTTACATTAGTTTCTATAAGATGCGTGAATCTACCCTTAATCAAGCAATTAAAAAGATACGGTGCACTATGTTTTTTATTATCTGGATGGAAGGTATCATTCGATACACGGGAGGACCAGCAGACTCGTGCCTCTAAACTGAGCAATATCAATCAGCAGATATAGAGAATATTGATCCACAATTTATCGATTGAAGAGTTTTGTCTAACTTGTCAATGCAAAGATTTGCATCAAGGCAAGATAGAAAAAGAGAAGTGATTGATCAACACAACACATCACATACCGTATATTGATATTGGTCTTCGTGTATGTAGATGATTAATCATTTGGTTCATGCTGGTATTCTATGATGCTTTATTTCTAAGGTAGTGCAGTGAAAATGTTTCATAATGTATGACATATTTCCTCAAAATCCGCACGCGACTCGTTTGACGGAAAACAATAATAGTGAGACTTTAGCCGGGGTAGCCGCGAGCCCAAAACTCCCCTCGGCCGCCTGTCGCACAGATCCGTGAACCTTTGCCTTGGATTTGTGTCAGGCGGTTCCCCGAGGTGTCGCCGCCTGGCAATTTCAAAATGCTGAACCTGTTTACCCGCCAAATCGAAACACTTTCTGGTTGTGATTTCAAACCTGTTCACCGCTTGACTTGGTTGAGGCAATCTGGTCTGGTAGAAACCAGATGGTGCAATCTGGTCTGGTAGAGTGATTTCCGACTCTACCTCTGCTGCAGCTCTCCCCTCCCTGCTCATTTGCTCTCCTTCCCTGCCTCTTAGCTCACTACCCTCGCAGCCTTGGCTTCCGCGAATTCCCTAGCGAATGCAGCTCTTTGCGCTGACAGTGTTACAGTGCTTGATAGAACACAGAACGATGGTGCCAGAATGACCCCGTTATTATACTCAGTTCCACGTCGCTCGGATTAGCTGGTAAAACCATGAGTGTTGAAACGGCTGCCGTTTATTAACCTTTCACGAAATCTCCAGTACTCATCAGGTGGTTCCTGTATCCTGCCACACTTCAGTAGCTGTAGTGGAAGTTGCGATCATCCACCAACTGGCGACGGCTACCGGTGCTGCACGTTTTCGTGAATATGTCGAGTAGCTCTCTGGCGAGCAGGTCAGAACGGGCTATTTGTACGTACATCAGAAAGTTGCGCCAGTAGCCATCGTATGTAGTCGCGGTGGAAGCACGAATCGCTGAGCGCTAACACGTTTGACGTTAACGGTAGACGCATAGGTGAAAGAAACCGGCCTGCTCCTAGTGACGCCACAGAATGCACTTGGCGAGTTAGGAGCCAAGACTAGGATCTTTCCGACGGGCCTCGGAGCAAGGAATCCGTGGCACTTTGAATCTCTGCCTGCGAATTGAAAGAGATATTGCTTATAATGCAGGAATGGGTACAAGTGACGAGTTGAAGTTAACTCTCTGGAATTTGCTCTCTGGTTTTTATAGCTAAAACATGCAAGCACAATTGTTAACATCGAACCTGCGCTCGACTCGCCGGAAATTCTGGACTCAGAGAATCGCGTCCAATTTCCGGGACAATTTCAGACTTTGCCGGGTTCGTTTTTTCACGCCGACAATCGTGTGTTACAAGGAACAATAGCAAGTGTAGCGAAATGTTCGTAACATTCGCTGTGCACTCTTGC